ATAAATATAATAAATATATTAGCAAAATATAAATAAAGTCTTCCTTCAATTTGAGCATACATTTTCTACGAATAAACTTTCATCTGAGGGTAGCAACACAGTAAAGAAATCTCATTCTTTCTCAGTTCTGCTTGAACATTCTGATAGCCAAGGATACACAAAAATTCCCTTTGTTATACATAGTATTTAATTTTTCTTTTCCTGAGGCTGGAGATATTACACATCCTTTCTGCCCTTTCATCCAGTTATTGATCCACCCTATCAGCACTACCTCAGTCATATTGGATGGTGTCAAAGAGACTTCCAAGAAGAAAAACTGTTATCTAAAGGAGGACAAGGAAGAAAAATTTCTCACTTTCCTTCTTACTTTACTTCATTCTCTTTTACCAAGAAAAAGTTCAAAAAAGCCTTTTTTCCCTGAAAAAATTCACAGACACTTCAGCGAGGAGACAAAATGGTCTGCTGCAGCACTTGCCAAGAACAAGCAATTACCTAGCATTATCTTCTGCCAGAATGGACAACACAGATCCAAATGGACTTTCTGATCTCTAATTGTCTCTATAATAATGACCATGTCAAAATGTTGATAAAAAAGGCCCAAATATATTTTGTTGTTAATAATCTTGAAGGCTACAGGCAAAACTGAAATGATTGGCAAAAGAAATTTGACTGCTCTGCATGCAGCTTTCAAGCACATATTGGTTAAACTTACATAGTGGCCCTGCCATCTCTAAGTCATTCCATGATGTATAGAATATTTCATGCCCCTCTATCCCTTTATTTAAGTGAATTTACAGAGTATCCATGCAAGCATATTAATGTCAAATTTTTAAGAAGTTTATATGCAATCATGCAATCATGCTGAAATCAGCTGCTAAAGAACATGGCCAGTTTGTTTTTCTTCCCAAGCTTCCTAAGAGTCATACCACGAATCAAGTCTGTTTCCCAGAACAGTTTAGACAGTTTGTCATGATCTAATAAGATGGAGATCAGTCCAGAAATAAGCTAAAATTCCCATTGTTTCTGTAGACATACAGAAGCTACCTGGTGCTAGGGAATGTACCTTCATCTATCTCTAAGACTGTTGTTGATCAGCTGTGCCTGGCAAAGCATAAACAACACACTGCAAATATATGGTATATATGCATATTGACAGGTGAATATGAGATTGTAAGTCTTTCATTCTTTGTCAGTTCTGTGCTGGAACCATAAAGGACTGGTATAAAGGATGCAAGGATGCAATAAAAACTTTTTCTATTTCCACAAATGTCTATATCATGGCCGTGAGCAATTGGCCAATATGAAAGGGGAGAGCTAATTAAAATCAAAATGGAAAGATTAAAGAAGTTAAAGTTTGGCCAGAGAATATGATTAAAGCATTGTCCTGGTTTCGGCTGGGATAGAGTTAATTTTCTTACTAACAGCAGGCATAGTGCTGTGTTTTGGATTTAGTAGGAGAAGAATGTTGATAACAGGCTGATGTTTTTAGTTGTTGCTGAGTACTGCTTATGCTAGTCAAGGACTTTTTCAGCTTCCCATGCTCTGCCAGGCGCACAAGAAACTGGGAGGGGGCACAGCCAGAAGAGTTGATCCAAACTGACCAAAGGGCTATTCCATACCATATGACGTCATGCTCAGTATATAAACTGGGGGGGGTTGGCCGGGGAGCAGCGATCGCTGCTCGGGAACTGTCTGGGTATCGGTCGGCGGGTGGTGAGCAATTGCATTGTGCATCACTTGCTTCGTGTATCATTATTATTATTATCATTATTATACTGTTACTATTAGCATTACTATTTTACTTTATTTCAATTATTAAACTGTTCTTATCTCAGCCCAGGAGTGTTTCTCACTCTTACTCCTCCAATTCTCTCCCCCATCCCATCGGGGTAGGGGGAGTGAGCGAGCGGCTGCGTGGTGCTTAGTTGCTGGCTGGGGGTAAACCACGACTTTAATTTTAAATAAAGAGACATTAGAATAACTTTTCTCACCCTCATTCTTTTACTGTGGGGAAAACAAGCGTTAGTTCTTCAAACCATCATTACCGTTGCTCTTATTGTTTCACTAGGATAACAGACGTGTGAAATGCAGTGGGTGGGTGAAAGGGAATTCTTGGAGGAAATTGTAGCAAGAAATATTCTAGTTGGATACAAGGCAAAAAAATCCTCGCCATGAGGATGAAAAGCTCAACTGGAAATGTTCAACTAAGCAAACGGGTCTAACTTTATTTTGGCCATGTTTGAGTTGGGATGACTACTTCAAATGTCCTTCAGAAGTTCTTTCCAACCTGAGTTAGTCTATGGTTACATGTGTGTGGCCTGACAGCAGACAGTCTTGTATACATATGAAGATCACTAAAGCTAACTGACTTAGAAGGAAATCTATGAAAAGTCAACATCTTTAGCCAGATTAGTTTTGGTACAAAACTAAAAACTCATTTTGGAGGAATTTCTTCATCTGAGAGCTGTAAAAGCTCTCCATTTCCTCCTCTCCAGTGTTTTAACAATCTATAAAGAGAAATCTTTTGCTAAAACTTAGTCTTTATTGATAAAGGGAGAAAGGTATATAAAAAGAGTAAAATAAAATAAAATCAATTCTGTAGCAAGAAAAACACAGGGTTATGCAACAATGCATTTTGGCAAACTTAACATCGTATTTGATGCTGTAGGTATAGAAAGATAAGAGCTTATCTTAAGATCTGTGACTGTTGTATAACTGAGCAAAATTACTTTCAAAGCATTAACAGCAAGCAGAAATCTTAGATGACTTGTAATAAAACTAGTTGTTGAAAGAGTGCAAAGGCCAAGCTATGTTGAATTAGAGCCTACCACCACTAGTGGTTCAGAAAATGCCTTCCCTGCAGATTAATTTCTGCAATTGGAAGAATTCTTTTGAACATGACCATTGAAAGGGTTGTCTGCCTGAATACAGAAATAGAAACAGCTGGTCAGACTCCAGAAATTAAGGTCTTCAGGTTAGAGAGGAATCTTACAGTTGCCCTAAGATGCCTCTAGCACAGATCTTACAGCTGATAAAATACTGGCATAATCATATCTGAGCCAATTTTCCTACCCCTTGGTAGCACAGTGGGCAGATCAGATTGGAGATGATGTTTCAGGTCCAAATGAGATTTAACTGAAAAGCTGCAACATCATCCCTCTAAAGTCAACATTAATTCTGAGACTAATAATGAATGCCATTTCTGCTGTCTCTTCCCACACTGACAATTTTTGCCAAAATATACCTCTGGAACTGCAGTCAGGCCAATTTCAGCAAATGCTGCCTCTGACTGCAACACACATAAGTAACTCTGCATCCCACGCTGACTCAGACCTTACTCATCCTCACTAGGGAGCCAAGTAACTGATTTTGTGTGATTTCTGCTCTAGTTCAGAATATTAAATAAGATTGGACATGTTCTGAAGGCACAGAAAAACATGGGCTGCATAATTAAACTTTGTGAAAGTTTAACAAATTCAATTTGTACTCCGTTACCATAGCCACTCTTTTGCCCTTTGCAGTACTTACTCCAGTTAAGTTTGTCCTGAGAATAGAGATTTGCCTCCAGAGAAGAAACAAATAATGTAGAGGAAACCATAACAAAACTTACCTGTTAGAGACTCCCTTATCATTTGTAAGAAGATGTAAAGGTGTAAAGACAGCTTCCTGAAACTCTGATTAATTTACAACTTTGCAGCCGGTTAGGCTGAACACTGTTTGGAGCAGGGGTCATATCTTTTCACTCTCTGTGAAGCATCTGACACACACTTACTATTATACAAATAAAAATAATGAACCATCACTGCGGTAACCAACCTGATATTCCCAGATGCTTCTTAAACAGGTGATTAGGGGGTACCAGAGAGGGAAATGATTTAAACAAAAAAACAAACCCCTCAACACTCTGCCTTTTGTAATTGATTTTCTTGTGACCACGGTGCCTTTTCCTTGCACACGCCAACTAGTGCTATCAGTGGTAGGACCACTGGAGGTTGAGTGTGGCAGGGTACTACTCAGCAAGAGAAAAGGCCATAACCTCCTGTCCCAAACCCATTTAACCTAACAGAAAAGAAACTGTGGTGTGCTATGCGAGTTACTCACGGCTCAGCTTCGATGCTCTGGTCAGCAGCTATGTAGTTGGCAGGGATGTAGCCCTGGAGCTTGCGGCCAGGACAGACTGACCCTGTCGGCAGGACGAGCCTAGCGTACCACCAGCCCTCGTTGGATGCATCCAGCACTTCAAGCTTATCCCCGGCTCGGAAGCTCAAGTCCTCCTCTGTGCGAGCCTCATAATCGAAGAGTGCCACAAATTTGCAAATATTCACCAGATGCTGGCCAGGCAGTGGAGGTAAAGGTTTCTCTTTTATCTTACTTGCTGCATCTTTCTGTCCTGCTTGGAAGTCATGCCTTACCACAGCAAGGTTGGCGAAGACTTGGCCAACTTTCTCATCCTGCTCACCATCTCTCCCTGAGAACAAGCACGGGATGTAGGGCTCCAAACAGGCACAGTGCTTCTGGCAAAAGTTTCCCATCCTGTTTCCTTGTGCCTTCCTCTGCTTCTGCTTTTCTTTTGCTTTTCCCAGTTACGATACCCTTAGACCAATTTTCGCACCATCAACATTTTAGCTTTTTGCAAGGCTTCTCCCCCTCCTCCTTTGGCACAGAATGAAACAACTCTTGGCACAGCTGGAAGCTTCTCTCCGAGCCCCACTGCGAGCTCATTACAGGCGGCTCCTGGATCGGAAGTGAAACCTGAGTATCCAAGTGCCGGAGCACATGTGGAGGGGATTTCTCACTTCCTCTTTGGAACAGGAAAGCAACACAACAGCTGGGCTGGGCTGAGCTCTGGGAACAACAGGGGAGCGTGGAGCCTCTTCTCCCACAGCAAAACCATAAAGTCAGAACATCTAGGCAGGGGAGGCGTCTCAACTCTTACTGCTTGGGATGGGTGTTTTCTGGCCTCAGGTGGGGTCCTGTCATATGATCAGCGGTGAACGTCTGTAAAGTCTGTCTTGGTAATGATTAACCAAGCTGACCTGCCTGTTTCATGGACAGCTTGAATATTTCTTTTTGTTTCCTGGTTTGCGCAGGTTTCGGTTCTCAGTTGGAAGCCTTCGCTCGCCGGAGGCCTGCAGACGCCCTCACCTGGAGCGCACCTGCAGCTTCGGCTCTCCCTCACGCCCAGGTGCTTTCCCCTGCTGAGTGCCCGCCCTTCAAACCAGTCCTCTGGCTTTTTTGTTTGTTTGTTTGTTTTGAGCTGGGTTCTGCATTTCTTACAAGGAAAAATAAATATATGGGGCTTACAAAAATACAGAAATAGATTTTAATTAATTCCTCACTCTGCATTTTAAAGAATCAAAGGCACTAGCCAAAAAATTGCTATAGGTAGTCGGCTAATTATACCAATCACATGTAAAAATAATGGCTGTCTTCCAGTCACCAAGTAAGCCAATGAAACTAAGCTGACCAGTATGTTCCCATTTCTAAAGCACCTATAACCTGGCATACAAACCAAGCACAGGTGTCTGGATACTGCTGTGGCAAAGCAGCCTGGAGAGGTGTCTGCCACATCCCAGCAGTGCAGCCCAAAGTCAGGAAAGGTCTGTGTTGGAAGAGAAACCATCTTCATTAGTCTTGCTTCAAGAATTATCTACAGTTACTGAAACTAGAGAATATTAGAAAAGATGTATTAAATAATCTCATTTTTTCAGTGTGCATATTTGATAGATTTCCTGTAATGTTTTGTGGTTCTGGCAACTTGTGCATTAATCTGGCAAAGATCTGCACACACATTTACTGCACAGAACAGTTTCATCATGACAATGGAGCCACTTACATTGTACAGAATCAACCTCATGCACAGCTCTTTGCAGGATCAAGACCATTCTTTACACTCAAGTACCAAAATACATACACATTAGAAAGCATGCTGCATTCACTGACACTATTCAGATAAATATTTATAGCTGTAGCTAGTATGGGGCTTAAGCCTACAAATATTTGTGTGTATCAATATCTTATATGAAATAAACGCAGGCATTAAATTCATCTTCTCTCCCAATTTATGCCCCTGCTTGGCTTTACAAGACCAGAATGACTTTTGCTGGAAGTGATCAATAACTGTAAATCAGATTACTTTCCTCCCAACCAACTCTTCAGGATCAGTTCTATTTACGAAACAAGTAGACTTTAACAAATAGCCATGAAATTCATTAGTAAGATTTAAAACTCTCCGCAAAAAGACAGACGAATGGGGTTGCTGAAAACTGCTGAGAAGATTTCCGAGCCTGTGTGGGGCAAGACCGTGGCTGAGCTGTGGTGGCCACACTGCAGCAGTGCCTCTGCAAGGGTCTTTGTTCCCATGTTGGTGACTTTATTGAGGATTCTCTGAATTTCTGAAAATAAAGCAGTACTCTTTATGTTTTAGAGACTATATAATTTTATCACAAGCAAGGAAAAAATGAAAATGTAATGAAAATGTAATAAAAATATTCTTGCCAGTTATACTGAAAAAAATAAAATCTGATAAAGCCCATAATCCTAATTTTCATGCTCATGTTTGGAACAAATGAGGATAATCATATATATTCAGGGGCTTTTCGATATAAACTATCATCTGAGTCCTCTGCACTGGTATTAGATATAATTTAACAGGATAATCTTTGCAGCACCTATTTCTGAGCTTAATTTAGTTCTTTTGCCTTGCATCCCACTATATTTTCTTTTTGCAAAAGGAGGCCAAATAGATATGTATTGTTTACTGGCCTTCTGTATCTTTACTTAATTTGTTTTGGAGACTGAGTGTCAAAACAGAAATTGTCCAGATAAACAAGCTAGTGGATGTAAAGTGACTGTGAAAGACTTAATCAGATATATTGATGAATTTTATTAGCAAAAATGCTTTGAGAAGGACACAAAAGTCTCACCTCATTCTTACAGCCAGCAATAGCTAGGGAGAAAGATGAATTTATTATGACCAGAATGGCACATTTACAGTATGGATACTGAAATTTAGTGTTCTGGTGCCTATATTATTAAAAAAATCATTAATAATGCATGCAGTTTCTTGAAATACACAACACCTTAAAACAAAGATGGATCATTTACAATCTGTGTCTGACAGGATCATATAAACTTAGTTTTTAGAAAAGGAAACAAATCTATTCAACCAAGTAGTACTTCCCCCTTCAAACTAGGTAATTCCCCATTGCTTTTAAAGTATATTTCCTCATTCCACAAAGAAAAAATTCCACACTGATGCTTTAGGTTTGAGGATGACAGATACCTGAACTTTCTTTTTATATTCTATGTATTGATTACAAAGTCCTGTATAAGTAAGACTCTTGCAAGGAGCCTCACTCCTGCTTAAAGGATTAACTTGCAGTCCTCTAAATCCATTAAATCAAATTCTAATAACTTAAAGTCAATACTCTTCAGGCTTTGTTTATTCTACAAAACAATCATGTTTAAACATGGTGGTGAAACATATTTCTCTTAGTTGCCTGAATGGACAGAAAAAAAAGGTGTTAATATGATATGTTTTGGTAAGCCTAATACAAACCTAATCTGCAACACTGATATTAATTGAAGTGCTCTTGGAAACAGGTACTGCTCTGCATGAATTAAGGTATCAGACTGAGTCATATTAAATAAGTACAGATGAGATTTGAATCCATAATATTTCAAAAGTCATGTTTTAATAGAAATTTTATTTGTGTTCCATGCTTTCAAAAACCATTTTGTACAAGTTTTCATTACAGATATTTCCTATGTTTATTGATCTGTATGTGTTCTGTATGGAACTATTGGTATAATTACATAAAACCTTAGAGTTTTAGAAAAAATGAACCCTCATCCACCTAATAAATATGCTGCTCCATATTTCAGAGTCAGGGAGTGAACATCACTGAGCATCAGGCTTTGGTACTGATGGTACATGATGTCTGAAACAATTCCTTTGTGCCATGCAGAGAAGAATTACAGTCAGAACGGTACCCTTCTGAGGAAAAAAGAATATTCCAAGGCAATATCCACCAACAGTTTTGTTAAGAAATATGAGTCAGTTCAAACTGGACATTGAAAAAGAGAGTGTTTTTTCTTAATAATGAGATGAGAACACAACAGAAACAAACATTTTCCTCTGCGATTTTTTTGAATTTTACAAACAGGAAAAAATCCATGCGGGAAAACGAGAAATTAAGGTATAAAATACAATCATCTATAATCGGTTCCTGTGATTATATGAACCCTGCGCACTATCCATCCACCTTCCAGACTAGGTATCCCTCTCTCCTTGTATATTTTCTGTATAGTTTCCTACCTCCTGTTTTCTTTCTGCTGTATCTTCTTTCACAGGTAGGTAGTGAGATGCCGTATAAAGAACATGACCTAATAATGTATGAAACTGTTGCCTGTAGCATCACTTTCTATACTGTATAATCTTTTTGAAGTCAGTAGTTATACTGCTGCATTAATATATGCTAATTTAAATATTTGACATGATATACCTCGCTTAAAAAAACTTCTTAATGCATTCTGATAAAGCAAGTCAAATGTTCCAACAAAGTAAAGTATTCAAATAACAGGATCTTTAAAGAAATTAGAAGAAAAGCAAATGCATGCTGCTCTGAATCTGTGCTTGGGAAATAATTTAAATGATTAAACATTTTAAAGTTGTGTTGTTTTTTTAAGGTAACAAATTGAAATGAAGCACAGTGATTTTTTTATTACAGTTGTCTTTTCAGCTATATTTCTTTCCACTTGCACATTAGAATGGAACACATTACCACCACTTTGTAGCTTTTTTATAATCCTTTTAATCAGCACTTTCATTTTGTTCCTGTAATTTGCAAATTGCCATTCTTTTCAATGAAAATAAATTATGTGCGTAATTTTACTCTTGACAAAATTGTTTACTCTTATTGATTAATCATGTTCCTGGTTTTGTATATTATCTTGAACCATAAATCCACAGAGACATAGAGTTATATTTGATTCGGCATTTTTCCAACCTTAAATCTTCTGTATCCATAATGAGAAATCTCTGGCTATTTATTTTCATAAGGCTGATCCAGTAATCCATCTCTACTCTAGAAAGCATTAAAAGTACATTTTCAAGTGCTTCAGTGATGAGGGTTGCTTATTTATTAGCTAAATTTGGGCCTAAAACAGGCTACGTCTGACAACAAATGAACACAGAGGAATAAGGCTCTGTCAAAGAGTGACAGAATAGAGACTTCCTCTATTTGTTCAAACAATCAGATCTCACTCTGCTGAAATTTAATGTGAGTTTTGCCATTATCTGCAATGGGACCAGACCTCAGCCATTATTTTTCATTTTATCGTACATTATTCCAAATGATATACAGCACACACTCTTAAAAATTGGAAGTTAATTTGCTTTCTATAAAGCAGCCCTTCTGAATAAAACCACGCTGTAGCTCTCTAAGGCATGAAAAATACTTCTAATCGAATCTATCTCTGGGTGGGGAAAAAATATGGTAAGTGGATGACAAAGAATTATCAGCAAACA